AAATGGAGGGAGGGGAGACAGCATGGCAGACAGAGACACACACCCTGTGTGTGTGAGAGAGAGAAAGAGAGAGAGAGAGAGAGAGAGAGAGAGAGAGAGAGATGTGTATTGCCCCTTTAAGTATGCTGACCCCACTCTAAGTACATTGCCTTTTTAAGTAGATCAGCAAGTAGAGACCACAGCTGCAGCTAGCATGCTTCCTCTGTTCTGAGCCCTGTCGTGCCCTCACCCAGCTCTACGGAGATGGGGTAAGCGGGGGGCAGAAGCAAGGGGGGAAAGGGGGACACCCTGACATTAGCACCCTTCTTCCCTCCCCCCACCCCCAGAAAGAAGGAGGCTCCTGGAAGCAGCTCCAAGGCAGAGGGCAGGAGCAGCACATGGCAGTGGGGGGAGGGACCACCAAACTGCTGGCAATTGATAGCCTGCTGGGCGGGATTGGGGGGCTGATAGGGGGGCTGCCAGTCCACCATGGTTCCAAGCTCCCACCAGCCAGCTGCAACAGGCTGCTCTTTCTGCAACTGGTGGACAAAGCAGGTGGCTGCCAAACAACGTTATAAGGGAGCACTGCGAAACTTTAAATGAGTATCTTCTCTAATTGATCAGCAACATAACAACGAAACAACGTTAACCAGGACAACTTTACGTGAGGAGTTACTGTATGTATTGATGGTGCAATGCTTATTGAGGAATGTTTTCAATAACAGCTAAAAGCTGCCAGTGACAATCTTTCCAATAATTGATAGCTATCAATGTTTAAAGGACACAAACACATTCAGTGGTATAGAAAATTTCTGGATGAATCCAAAATCGGATTCTACAATTTTACAGATCTACAACACACACACACATAATCTGTGTCGTTATGTTAAGTGTGGATCAAGCAATTGATAGGTACTGTCCTTGTTAATCCAGGATACAAGCCATCAAATTAGGTTAACTGAGTATAAAGTCTATTTTCCAGGAACGAAGGCAAATAAAGAAAAGTTCCAGAAATAAAATAGAAATAAACTGGCAAATCCTAAGCAATGAGGATTTGTACTAGATTTGGGAATATAAAAGTCTATAAGAAGAACTATGGTGGGTGCTTAGCACCCACTGGCCGCCCCCCATGAACACCTCCCCCTTTCCCCAGTGTGTCCTGCCTGCCGGCAGGCCCCACAAATCTGCGCCTCCCCTTCCCTCCTAGCGCCTACTGCCTGCCGCGGATCAGCTGTTTTGCAGCGTCTGGAGGCGCTGGTGGGGGGGAGGAGCAAGGGCGCAGTGCGCTCGGGGGAGGGGGAAGAACTGGGCGGAGAAGAGACGGGACGGGGGTCCGGCATTAGGGAAGGGATGGAGTGGGGGCGGGGCCAGGGAGGAGCACCCCCCAGCAGATTAGAAACTCTGTGCCTATGTCTCTTCCTGCAATACACTTACAATTGTGACCAGCAGATGTACTGATACTAGATCCTTCTTGACATAACAAATAGGGGCCATCTGATTGTAACTCTAGAATTCTCACCATTTGTGGTACAAAATATATTAGACAAGTCAACTTTCAGGACATGTTGCAAAAGGGCCCATTTGTTTCACCTGGCCTTTGAAGAGAGGTAGATATATACCATGGAATTGGAGAATTAGCTTTTAGTTACAAGCCACTGCTTGTTTGAAGCATTTTTGTAGCCATGCAGGTCCCAGGCTAGTAGAGAGACAAGGTGGGTCAGATAATATCTTTTATTGGACCAATTTCTGTTAGTGAAAGAGACAAGCTTTTGAGCTACACCGAGCTCTTCTTCAGGTCTGGGAAGGGTGTTCGGATTTCTTTGCAAGTTTAGTTGCACAGAACAAAGATTCTTAAGATAAGTAGCATCATTAATATATGCCATCTCAGGAAAAATGATCTACTTTTGAGCAGAGAAATTCCAATAAGCAATTTTTTCCTTTAAGTCCATAGTGTTAATGGCCTAATAACCTTATATAGCACTTTCAGTATTCAAGAATCTGGTCTACAAAGATGTGCACTGTAATCATTCACAAAATGATAAATATGTACATTATTTTGCCTTCTAGCTCAAGAGCCATGTAGTTTTGGACTAGCCACTTTTTGTCACATCAGATAATTCAGATTTATCTCAGCCATCTAACAAGAGTATTTTATTAGCCTTCAAAGCCAGTTCCCAGGAAAAATTTTATGCAGCCTTTGTCAACATGAAATCAGCTTTTGAGTCTACTGACAGAGATCATCTCTGGGAGAAACTTGCGAAGGCTAGGCTTCTTTATCTTGAAAGCCCTCCATAGACAAACAGTGGGCAAGATTAGGATTGGGTGGCGAGATAAACTAATTTACTTATCCATCATAAGAGACATCCAACAGGGCTGCTTATTGGTCCATTTTCTTCTTAATTTTTACATTAATGAGATTGTGACAGCTTTAGAAGTAGTGCAACATTTCCCTCCCAAAATTCTGAACCGATTTGTATTGGTCCTTCTTTATGCAGACAACATGGTTCTGTGGTCCCAAACCCCCCTAGGCTTAAAGTATATGTTAAAGGACTTTAGCTCTTTTTGCAAGTAGGAGAACCTGACCATAAACTATAAGAAAACTAAAGTAATTTTCTCTGGCCACAAACCAGAACTGTATAAATAGATGAATGATGGCCATTATACTGAACAGGTCAGTTTTTTCCCCTGTTTGGATATCTGTTTTACACATAATGACCAGTAGGATAAACATATAGAGGAGTTATAATTTTAAAGGTATAATTGATTTGGGGGAAGGGTAAATCTTGTGTTTTTAATTTGCGTTTTTAAAACTCTATTTGTTTTTCAGAGTTATCAATTTAAAATTTGTATTTACTGTAGTATGCACAGTGGTCTATGGCTAAAATGGTATATTGATAAACTATGCTAAACTACTAACTGAGTAAATTTTAATGCACTGCAATCCAAATTTAAAAAAAATCCTAATTGTTCTTTGGTGTGATGCAACATTCACGAATTACAAGATTCCTGTTCATGTTCATGTTAGAGACAAAAGACTGCATGGCCCATGGATCTGCAACTCAGATACATAACTATGGATCTGGGACCTGGATTAATTTTTTTGAAGACATTTTTGGATTAAGGATCTATAATTCCATCTCAGGGGTTTTAGTGAAACATGCTCTCATGTTTTGTGTTGTCAAAAGTATGCCTCAAAGGTATTACAAAAAAATAATTTACAGTTGCTTGCTTTTTCTGTACAATAGTGGACAAATCCTTTACACATGTGATTAGCCGCACTGACTTCAACTGGTTTATTCCCATGAGTAAGGCAGCAGGATTGGACCCTATATGTATACATTCAAAGAGAGAGAACAGCTGCTATTGCTGTAATGTACTGGAAATGGCATTTACTTTTAAGGGTAAAAAGATGGGAAAGAAGGTTAATTGTAAAACACTCTCCTACATAAATCAATAATTTCAACAAATTATTCTTTTTCAGTCTTGGTCCCAACCAAATCACTAATATATTTCATTAAGCATATTTTCAAATGCTTATGGAAAATAAATAATATTGGTAAGCTCAGCTTAATAGGAAGGGGATAAAAACTACAAAATATGATTGGAAATCTAGATATTTGTTCAAAAGTCAACATGATGAAAATTCACCACTAGACACAACCACCATAAAACTCTCAAGTCAGGGTTCGAACATTTTCTGGACAGATGGTTTACTTAAACACGCTGACCTCCTATCAGACTGGATTACTGCCCGTAATGCTCTAGTCTTTCCTATGGTAAGTGGGTCAAATGAGGTTTTATCAGAGTATTTTGATCTGATACATCATGGTCCCAAAATGATTTATTAAAATCCACAACTGAAATTTTTTTTATATATTTCTACTGCAAATAAAATGTATCTTTGGGAAACACACCCCACTCCAACCCATCATACTAACCTTCACATTTTTCCAAGATCTGGACAGTTTCTCCTAGTTCCAAGACTAAGCCTTGTGGTATAGATCCTCGGAAGCTGCATATCACTAGAAAAAATAAAAGATAAAGGTTACATATTGTCTTGTTTTATTCTTAAAACAAAGGAGACTCACATATTAGCTTAATTTATTTATACACAAAGAGCTGTTACATATCTGCTAAAAAAAAATCTTTCCCATTTTGCCAATTACTTCCTCTTGTACATTTTCTCCCTCTTACCACAACCTTGAACTCCATTATGTTTAAAAATGATCCATACTTTTGGGGGAAATAATCTAGGTTGAGGAAGACCTCAATCATTTTTAATAATTGATCCCAGATGAACTCATGCTGTATACCAAGATTCACTTCACCTATGAACTTATAAAGTGGAAGAAATAGCACTGATTTTATTTGGATCAGGAATATTATTCTTGAGCATTAATGTACATAAAAAGGGAGGACAGATTGCAGAGATTACTTTTCTCCAACATTTCTATTCATCTTCAAGCACGGTCTGGCGCTAATTTAATATAGGAAAGCAGTTATTTTTAGATATTTATGATTAAGGCTATTAGAGAATGTGTTTTTTGTTTACAAATACTGAATAGGTTATAGAGCTTTAATAATTTAGAGATGACAGCCTTAAGTGTTGTGTCTTTTCTTCCAGTTTTTTTATTGGTTAATTACTGTAGAACTGAATTAAGAAAAATCACTTTATGAAATGTCTTGTCTTAAAAATGAATGTAGGAAAATATAAATAAAATAAATCACCAGTCAGAACCTAAATCTAACAAGAAAGGAATTATTTGTTGGAAATGCATAACAAAGTCTTCCTTATCCATGATACTTGTTAAAATGCCATAGTGGCACGGCTACTGGTTGTTGTTGTTGTTGTTTGGGGTGGGGGGCAGGTTGTATTTTTTTTTTACATTAATAGGTCATGTCAACAGTGACTAGGATTACATATAATTATGATCATTCTTTTAAAAACCTTTGTATCTATAAGTGTCATTAAAAGTGTAATTAAAAATGGAGAAAATAGAAAACCCACTTTCTCCTGGAGAACTAACTTTAAGATGGTTTATATATACACTGACAATACACACATCTTGTACATACATTTTTACTACACACACACACACACACACACACACACACACACACACACACACGAGGTTTATAATGGGAAACCATGAGTTGAAATAGTGACCTCCAGTGGGGAATAATATACTCAGGCTAAAACTCCAGACATTTGCCTATAAGTAATTTTTTTTAAATTTAAGAGGAAATATCTTTTCCTTTAAAATTAAACTCAAGACTATGGGCCTAATTCTCCATTCAGTTGAGGTGCTTCTCACTTCTTTACTTCACACAGGCATTTTCATATAACAAGGAGCCACTGTAGAGAGTCCTGTTTATAAAGCCCATCCATGCACAAGGCACAGCTTTCTCAGGAGCTGGTCTGATACTGTGGAACATACTCCCACAAGAACTATGGACCATCAAACGTCACCATTTTCTGCTCCAAGTGCAAATCACACTTCTTCAACCTTCTCTAACATGTAACACAGTATATTTTTAAAAACTAAAACCTAAACCCTAGCAAAACAAAAATTTCACTGCACACACAATTTTCCCCCTGTGGAGAGGATGACAGGGGAACAAACCACATGACCAGGTTAGTCACATTGCTTAATGCACTAATGGAAACTACTCAGATTCTACAGTAACGATGGAAGTATAAGAACCTACATATAATAGAATATGTTTCTCTTCCGGCTTCCTGAAGATCTCTATGCAGTGTGCACAGTCAAGGAAAAAGGGTCATGGCTGGACTTCTCCACCAAACCCCAGCCATTTTAACAGCTCCTTGGGTCTAGTGGCAGCCACTGTAGGCTAGAGCAGACTTCACTCTTCTAATTTATGTCACACAGGACAAGCATCCAGACAGCTCCAGGACTGGAGGAGTCTCAGGGTGACTTAAAGCCTGGCTGGGGCAATAGTGCAAAAATCCTTTAAATCACATACAGATATTCTCAATCCATTGGATTCGGTTTCAATTGCAGGGGAATTATTATATATAATTATAAATAGGTCCTGTTATTGAGGATAAGAACCAAAATACTAAGCACCAAAGTAGAATAAAGTTATTGAGACCAGTTACAACATTCAGAAGTTATAGGCTCTGATCAATACACTACAGCAGTGGTTCTCAAACTTCTTTGATCGCGCCCCCTTCTTCATGTCTGTAGTAGTTTACACCCCCCACCGGGTAGCCGGACAGCAACTGCTGCTCTCCAGCCACCCATCTCTGCAGGCAGAGCAGAGAGCAGCGGCAGCTGGCCAGGAGCCGAGCTCTAAAGGCAGTGCCGCTGCCAGCAACAGCAGAGAAGTAAAGGGGGTACGGTATGGTATTGCCACCTTTTCTTCTCCTCTGCTGCTGGCAGCAGCACTGTCTTCAGAGTTGGGTGCCCGGCCAGCAGCCCCCGCTCTCTAGCCTCCCAGCTCTGAATGTGCATAGTACTTTTTTCACCCTAAAGCTTCTCACTCTCTCTCCTCCAGAATACATTCCACACCTCCCTGCTCCCAGTTGGAGAACCTCTGCTTTACCTTCTAGGTAACTTCTCTCCTTTTCCTCCAATATTTTACAAAACTGTCTCTCTGAAAAGCTGAAATATTTGTGTGACTTTTGCCTTTTTTTTCCCCCCCACACACTTTGTATGAAAAACTAGATCTACCTCAATTTAGGCTTAAACAGTTTCTTTTAGCCTTTATTATGTACATTTTAAGACAAAGCTGTTATCACCTATGAATTACATATACTTGCAAAAACAGATATGGCAAGAAAAATAATTGATCATGTTACCTCGCTTGGAAACAGAATGACGCTTTCAAATCTCTGCTATGTTCACCCCTTCGTCTTCTCCACTCTCATTGTTAATTATCTATCTTTCATCCCATTTTGAAACTGTGCAGATTCAGCTTACCAAGTGACCTCATCTGTGTGCCTAGGTATTCTAAATCCCTAGTTAAAGCATTCTCATGCACAAATCACAATAACTAAACCTGAACTAATAGACATGGTGACAGCTACCCTGCACATAACCTAGACCGGGGTCGGCAACGTTTGGCACGCAGCTCGCCAGAGTAAGCACCCTGGCGGGCCGGGCCAGTTTATTTACCAGCTGACGTGGCAGGTTCGGCTGATCGCGGCCCCCACTGGCCGTGGTTCGCTGTCCCGGGCCAATGGGGGCAGCGGGAAGCGGCGCAGGCGAGGGATGTGCTGGCCGCAGCTTCCCGCCGCCCCCATTGGCCCGGGACGGCGAACCGTGGCCAGTGGGGGCCGCGATCGGCCGAACCTGCCGTGTCAGCAGGTAAATAAACTGGCCCGGCCTGCCAGGATGCTTACCCTGGCGAGCCGTGTGCCAAACGTTGCCGACCCCTGACCTAGACTAATATATTTTTGCTTATCCTGATAAAACTTACTTTCATCTGTCTACTTCTGTCAGCCCACTGCTTCCATTCAGTTGTTTTTAACCTTAGTGATCTGTTTTTGTGGCTTTGGTTTTTTACTTGTTAGCTTGTCTTGTTTGGGGTGGTGGGTAACCTGTAGCTAACAATTCCCTCTTGATACCCTGTTTCACCCTGCTATTTGCATAGGCCAAGTATTTTACAGATAAGACACACAAGCTAGTTTCATGGTTTTACTCCTGGGGGAATTCTGTGCCACGAACACGTGCATATTTCATGCTCTGCGTATAGTTTTAATTTTTTTGTGTGTGTGCAGAAAATAGCATCTGCTGAAAAGTTGCTGCAGTTCCGTCTTTTGCCCGCCAGAGGAGCGCTGTGGTGCTAGATCACAGTAGCCACTCCTGGCCAGCCCCACCTATGACAGGGAAGAGAAAGAGCCTGCCTTCTTCAAAGCGCCTGTCGGGCCAGGTCAGGAGACAGGTGGTTTGGGGAGACAGACATCGTGGGGCTGCTGGGGAGTCAGACAGGGGCTCATAAGTAAGGCTACATTTTAGTCACAGGTATTTTTAGTAAAAGTCATGGACAGGTCACTGGCAGTAAACAAAAATTCACAGTCCATGACCTGTCCATGACTTTTAGTATATACCCCTAACTAAAACCTGGGCTGGGGCGCCACAGGTGCTGGGGTGGTGGTGGTGGCGCAGGACCCCTGCTGGTGCTGGGGGGGGGGGGAGACAGGTGGCAGTGCCCAGCCCAGCACCCCTGCTGGCACTGGGGGGCGGGGGGGCCGCGGTGGCAGCATGTGACCTGGGACCCATGCTGGTGCTGGGGGAGGGAGGGTTGGCAGAGCTGGCAAGCTCCCTACTCAGCTCTGACCGGTGTGTCCCTGCAGCTCCTAGGGGAGGAGCAGCCAGGGGAGCGCCACACGCTGCTCCCGCCACAAGTGCTGGCTCTGCAGCTCCCATTGGCCGGGAACTGCAGCCAATGGGAGCTGCAGGGGCGGCGCCTGTGGGCGCGGTCAGCACAGAGCCCCCTAGCCCCTCTACCTAGGAGCTGCAGGGACATGCGGGTGGGAGCCGGGAAGCCCCCCGCCCAGGTAAGTGCTGCCCTGCATCCCAACTCCCTGCCCCAGCCCTGAGCCCCCTCCCACACATCCAAACTGCTGCTGCTGCTGCCCTGAGCCAGCACCAGCCACTGCAGAAGTCACGGAGGTCACAGAAAGTCACAGAATCCATGAGTTCCGTGACCTCCATGACAGACACGCAGCCTTACTCATAAGGGCTAGTGCGGAAGGACAGACTGGGTCAAGGGCTGAATGGGAGTGGATGCACAGGGGCACAAGGGGGAGAGGGTATAGGGCCACATGGGGACAGTGGAGTAGCTGAGTGGGGGCACAGAGACACATGGGGATGGGGAGGGGATGCACGGACACATGGGGATGGGGGAGTGGGTGTCTGAGTGGGGATAGAGGGACACATGTGGACAGGGGGTGCAAGGACACATGGGGACAGGAGCAGATGTGCCTGACTGAATGGGAGAAGCTAGGGGTCCGCCAGGGTCTGCATGGGGGACACTCCCTAACAATCTCTC